ATAAAGACGAAAGTATTTTCTGGAGTTCCCCAGTGATAAGATTTTTACTTCAAGGACTGTTGGGGTTTGTTTTAAGAATTTCAACAGGGGATAGCAAGGTATCTTTAACTGTAAAATTTTAATGATTAGATGTGTTGAGGTTCCCTTCACATGTAGTTTCAGAATACTAGGTTGAAATATATGCAGATGAATTTAATTTTTTTTTCTTTTTCTTTTTGCTTAAAGGGTAATGCTTATTAGGTTTTTCTTGAAATCAGAAGTTGTTGAAGTATCTAAATACCTACCCACCAGTGAAGTCACAGTAACAGATAAGCTAATGATTAGAAATATTCTTTAGATAAAACTTAGTTTCATGGGGCAAAGCAAAGACTCAGAAAAGCCCCAAATGGTGTGTGTGTGTGTGTGTGTGTGTGTGTGTGTGTGTGTGCATCTTATTCAAGTGTATTAGGAAACCAGCAAGAGCAATGTATGTAAAACACTCAGTACAAACTAAGCCCAGGATGCTCCTCTGACCTTTCTGATGTCTGCTCTGAATCTCCCATGCATTGACTGATGAAATCTGTAGTGACACAGAGGAATTAAAAAGAGTATGACATCAACTGGAAAGGTAAACACCAATGGTGGCATTTGACACATAATTTAATGAGCTTGCCAACAGTGAATCACCTAAACGAAGGAATCTTCCTGCTGAAAGCTGGAGCACTCAAGGGTTGCTTAGGGCAACCTTTATTTTAGGGTATATATAAGGAACAATGTCCCTGTGGATGAAGCCACCGTGGACTCTGGTGTCAAGTTGTGGGGGTTCACAGCTGCCCAGTGTTACCTCATTTGGTTGATTATTATAAAAGTACCTATAGTCCACCAATTGCTCAGAACATACTAAATTTTTAATTAATTATAATCTACTTTCTACATACTACATCAAAATGAATCCTGAGCAAACTTTTATAGGTGTTATCCTTTTCTAATGTCAAATTAACTCCTATGTAGAAAACTTGGAAAACACTACCCTCTTAACTGAAGACATCCAACGATAAAACACACTGCTTATTTTTTCCTTGATAAAGGAACTTCTAAGATAAAGAAATACAAGTAGGGTTAAAACAGTGAGACGTATGTAAGTACATTATTTGGCATAAAAAATTCAAGGGCTCTTTCTTACCTCCAGAATAGGACACATAATTTCTGCTGTGACATCACCATGATTCTTACAAAATTTATAGAACGCCTCAAGGTAAGACTTAAAAAGAAGAAAGATCATAAAACAATAAGATGAATATATTTTCCTTTTGTAAATTTCTAGATCAGCTTTTCATGGCTTATTAAATGCTTTAATGAAAATTGCATTACTTCTGCCATAGGGAGATATTTTATAATAAATGTCGTAGAAGCTTTCACGTTGCAGCATGTTACACAGACTAAAAAAGAGCTCCAAGAAGAACAAAACTGCACTTATCATAACATAGTTATTTAACAAATATATTTTTTTGCACGGTTCTTTCATTATTTCACGTGGTTAATTCCTGCTATTCTAACAAGAGTGCCAAGTTCTTTTCTGAGCTTAGCAAATGATTTTAGATTCAGCCCTATGCTGATATTTTATCTATCTTAGGGACACATTTGGGATGGCTTTGAGCAGAGGGATGTATTGGAAAGGCAGAAAGTTTGGGCTGTAGCATCAGACTGCCTGTGTTTGAATCCCAACTCTGATAGCAACCAGCTAACTGACTTCTGCCAGGGAAACCTTACTTCTCCATGTCTCAGTTTTCTCATTTGAGGAATGGACATAGCACACACACACATCCTAGTTTTCCTGGGTGCATTGAATTGAGGCCTATAAGTTTCTTAAAACAGTGCCTTTTGTTAGTTACATCTCAGGGGAGCCTCCTCTAAACCTGTAAGTCTCTTTATAAAAAAGAAAATTTGCTGTAATACAATGCTTTTGAGAGGTCCATGTATTTGAACATAACATGCTATATCTATGGAATGGCAGGATATATTCAGTGACTCTGTGAGAGTGTCTGAAGATGCTGTGGTTGTACGAGTGAAAACAGAAAGATTTTGCTCAGCCTATAATACCTAGAGCTACTCAATTGGTGGCAGCACAGTCCAGACAGACAGATTTTACAAAGTGGTACACATGATGTCCATATGGTCATTCTGGTATGCTGCACACTGTAGCTTAAAATTATCTGGGCAGGTTAACTGTGAGATTTAGGGACTCTATGACAGGACCTATGACAGGATTGAGGACAGAGATGGACACTATGTAACAGAAGGTTTACTATGTATGCTGGTTGTTTTAAATGGATTGAAATGGTTCACCCCAGTCATCCATTCACCCACCTACCACCATCTAGTCAACACTTATGTTTCAGGCACCGTGAAAGGAGTTAGGAACACCTCTCACCATGAGAGGAGCTAGAATAGGGTATATTATTTCTTCTCAAAAATCTTGCTGGCTGGAGGAAGCTGACATGTATACATTTAACTAGAACTATATAAAAGGTATATTCCAAATATACATAGTTTCATGATTGCAGAAGTTGGCTAATGGGCAAAGTAACTTTAATAAACACCTCCAGTTAGATATATTTTGTAATCAAGAAAAACAATATTCAGGAAAACCACTACCTTGTACAATTTATTGCGCAGTAATTCAATATTCAATTCGTCCAAAGTATTTTCAGACATACAGTCTTGAAAGAACGGAGCTGAAAGCAGAAATGGTTATACCAAATAAATGAATCAAAAGCAAAATTATAAACTGCAGAAAATGCATCCTCAATACACCACCCCTTGCCCATTCTGGCAAGAACACTGTGAAGTTGCAATCCACAGACTCAATAAGGCAAACAGTAAGGAGGAGGATAGGAGTTAGCATTTATTAATCATTTACTATGTGTGAGCCCTAAACACCACTCGCTACACTAAACCCTGAATATACTTTAACTTATTTAATCTTTACAACACTTTGGAACTATTCACCAAAGGCTTACTTACCTTTTTTTTTTTGTACATACTTATGGGGTACAATCTGATATTTTGATACGTATATAGTTTGTATAATAATCAGGTCAGGGTAGTTAATATATCAATCACCTCATGCATTTATCCTTTCTTCATGGAAAAAACATTCAAAAGTCTCTCCTCTAGCAATTATATAAAT